ATATCTCACGCATAAATCGCTTCCGCAACGCCCTGAATGCCTGTGAGCTAAAGGAGATACATTTGCAAAATCGTAAATTTACGTGGAGCAACGAGAGGCTTGATCCTACGCTGTGCAAGCTCGATACTTTTTTCTGCAACTCCGACTGGGATATCCAGTTCAGTTCCCACGTCCACTCCGCCATGGCAACTTCTCTCTCTGATCATTGCCCACTCATCCTAGCTAGCGAATATGGGCCAAAGAAGCCCCGGATTTTCAGATTTGAGAATTTCTGGATTAAGTTGCCGGGCTTTGGTCAGGTTGTTGCCGAGGTGTGGGGAAAGCCTACCAAGCACATTGAGCCTTGCCGAATACTTGCCGAAAAGCTTCGTCGGCTCGGCGTCCCGCTGCGAAGATGGAGCAATAGTTTCTTTTCTAGTGTGAAGCTACAGCTCACGATGGCTTTGGAGGTTATCCTCAGGCTTGACATGGCCATGGATCTAAGGCCTCTTTCTCCGGAGGAATGGGATTTGAGGATGAGGCTCAAGAGGAGAGTCATTGGCTATGCGATTCTGGAGAGGGCAAGGAAGAGGCAAGCCTCGAGGATCAGGAACCTGAAGGAGGGTGACGCCAACACAAAGTTCTTCCACATTAAAGTGAACGCACGGAGGAGGAAGAATTTCATCCGCAGGCTGCGGGTGGGGGCTCTTTGGGCTTGCACACACGAGGAGAAGGAGAAGGTGGTTCATGACCACTTCTCCGCTATGCTGCAAAAGAAGCCTCGACCGCATAGCGAGCTTAACTGGAACAACATAAACTTCAATCAGTGCGATCTGTCCAGCCTGGATGAACCGTTCAGCGAGCATGAGGCCCTTGACGCCATAGGAGACATGCCCAAGGATAAAGCCCCGGGGCCGGATGGCTTTACGGGGGCCTTTTTCAAGGCTTCTTGGGAGGTCATTAAGGCGGACATCATGGCTGTGGTCAATAGTTTTGCCGACCTACGTTCTGAGCACTTCCAATGGGTGAATACGGCTAACGTAGTTCTCCTTCCCAAGAAAGATGGGGCCGAGAGCATCTCTGACTTCAGACCAATCAGCCTCATCCATGCGGTGGCTAAGATTGTGGCCAAGATGATGGCAACTCGGTTAGCACCATTCATGCACACTCTGATATCCCGTAGCCAGAGCGCCTCCATCAAGTCCAGAAGCATCCACGATAATTTTATGTACGTGCGCAACCTTGCTTGGCGGATGCACCGGTTAAAGAAGCCTACCCTCCTCTTCAAGCTAGACATAAAAAAGGCTTTTGATTCTGTCAGATGGGACTACTTGCTCAGCCTTCTCAGTCGACGCGGTTTCCCGACACAGTGCAGAGATATGCTCACCGCCCTGCTGCGGTCGTCCTCATCCAGAGTCCTTCTCAATGGGATTCTGGGTGAGCCTATGTGGCACGGTGTGGGCCTCCGGCAGGGAGAGCCGCTCTCCCCCCTTCTATTTGTCCTGGCCATTGACCCTATCCAGAGCATTCTCGACACCGCCACAAGACAGGGCAAGCTACACCGGATAGGGGGCAGGGCCACCTGCATGCGCTCCTTGCTATATGCCGATGATGCTGCCATATTTGTGGCGCCTTTCAAGGAGGACATCCAGCAATTAACCTCCATCCTGGCTGGGTTTGGCAAAGTCACCGGTCTCACAACGAACCTCGAAAAGAGCTCGGTGGTTCCTATTAGTTGCAGCGGCATTGACCTGGATGCCGTTCTTGAGTGCTTTCCGGCCAAGCGTGCTACTTTCCCAATGCGCTACCTCGGCCTCCCGCTGTCCGTTCACCGGCTCAGGAAAATTGATCTTCAACACTTGGTAGACAAAGCTGCAGGGAGCTTGGTTCCTTGGCAGGGCCGATTCATCACGGCGGCTGGGCGAACCGAGTTGGTTAGATCGGTGACCACCTCCCAGGCCACTTTCCATGCCACAACGATTAAACTTCCTGAGAGTACTCTGAGCAATCTCAATAAGCTCGAGAGGGCCTTCCTTTGGGCGGGAGCGGAGAAGGTCTCTGGCGGGCAATGCAAGGTCAACTGGAAGGCCGTGTGCAGACCAGAGAGCCTTGGCGGCTTGGGAGTCCTCGACCTTCACTTATATGCGAGAGCTTTGCGCCTGAGATGGCTATGGTACGAATGGAAGGAACCCGATAAACCATGGGTCGGCTTGGGAAACCCATGCGACTCCATGGACGGAGAGCTCTTCTATGCGGCGACTACTATCACCGTGGGGGATGGTCGGATGGCGCATTTCTGGCACTCACCGTGGCTGGAAGAAAAGAAACCCAAGGACATCACCCCGCTCGTGTTCGCGAGCTCATCCAACAAGAATAAATCTGTAAAGGAGGCCATGCAGGATCAAAATTGGGTGCACTGGATTAAAATGGAGGATGAGCTTTCAGTTGACCATATTGCATAGTTCTGCATGCTTTGGGAGAAGCTCAGCCAAGTTGAACTTCGAGATGACCTGGCCGATGACATAAAGTGGAACCTCACGACCAATGGCACATATTCGTCCGCCTCGGCCTACAAGGTGCAATTCGAAGGGGCGGTGGCAACCAACATGACGAAAGTGATATGGGGAAACTGGGCACCCCCAAGTGCAAGTTTTTCGCGTGGCTCATCAACAAGAACAGGGTTTGGACGGCAGACCAGCTACAACGGCGAGGGTGGCCAAATTGCAATTTATGCCAACTATGCAAAAGGGAGCTGGAGACGGCGACACACATTATGTTCCAGTGTAGGTTCTCCATGCGCATTTGGAATGCGGTGAGATGTTGGCTTGACATGCCGGAGCTTGACACCGCCGATTGGGTTGGAATCTCTTCGGTCCATGAGTGGTCGACTAGAACGATCCTTGGCCGCGGACACCGGAGGAAGGCGATCTCTTCGCTTGTAATGCTAGTCTCTTGGAAGGTTTGGAAAGAGAGAAACGCGAGGATGTTCCAAAAGAAATCCTCAATGCCAACCACGGTGCTAGAGGGCATCAAGGTGGAGGCCAGGAATTGGGTTCTGGCCCGGGCTAAACACTTGGGATCCTTGATGCCGTGAGAGTAGTCCGTTTTGTTTTCGCATTTGTTGAGGAGTAATGACCCTCATTGAGACTTTGTTCTATACTCCTTCTTTATTAATGAGATGAGGCAAAGCTTTTGCCTCCGTTTCAAAAAAAAGAGTAGACCGTCTAATCAAAAGCATCCTGGTCATCCAAGTAGTGGTTAGGTCTCACCGGAGTTTTATTCAAAAGTTATACATTAAAAAATATTTATACAACAACAAAAATCAATAACATCAGATTTATTGTGAAGTATATTTTCGTATGATTTATATATGAGTTAATACCACAATTTATACATAAACTTGTAGGGGTGGGAACAGATTCGTATATAAGGACTAAAAAATCCCACAAAAGTGCCCCTCCAACTCGTATGCGGATTCTGTTATGGTCCAAAACGGTCTGGACACGACATTTGGCATCCTCGTGATGAAGTCATCTGTGTCTCGTCAGACGATGATTGATGACGTTACACTGAGAGGGTCCTAAGAATATCTCTCTATCGTTGGAGGAGCAAATCTCATTCTCATGCTATCTAGTCTCTTGTCAAACCTTTCGATGAATCTATAAGTTGTAGTTATGATCACCATGTTACAGGTGACATTTGAGCAACCCCAAAGCCCACCATACGGTAAGAAGTGACTATGATACTCTCATGGTCTAAGGAGCAATTTCACACGTCAACACTCCGTATTATTACAATTTCACACGTCAACACTCCGTATTATTACAATTGATTACAGACGATATTCACTCAATTCATAACAGACAAGTTTGGGTCAGTTCAATATGATTGTTCTTCCAACGTCATAATCTCAATGTTGTTTTAGGATCATCGTTATACTTAACGATATCCTAAGATCCGGAAAACATGATCACCAACAACACTTGAGCTAGTCCTAGAGGCAAGACTAGGAACCTTTCATTTAACAGTTTATCATTTTACACGTGCGTATGTGTTTTCAATTGAATCACATATTTCAGAATTATAGTAGTTATAGCATGAAACATAAACTCTTTAATTATGAATACAGAAATATAATAATACATATATTATTGCCTCTCGGGCATATTTCCAACAGTATCCCACTTGCCCTAGAGTCAATAATCTAGTTAGCATTTTTAACCTTTACACCAATGGCAATCCAGTAACAGTCCACGCTTTTCTTGTGGTATAGACTTTGTCCTATCGGGTATGACAATCTTCATATCCGGTGTGTATCATTTGCATTTCAATGCATCCGTCATGCTTTCACATGAACTCGTAATTTATGTGAAACAAGCTTAGTATATATTGAAAAAACTGGAAGGACCTTTGATTCCTTAGAATGAGCCATAGAACCACTATTGAGAACAATGTTCTGTTTGCACAATCATGTAGAAACCATACTAAGTTCAGAAATGAACCTTTGATTCATTACCCTCTATTGTTGCTTCTAAAGTGACAATATACGTACTTAGCCTTCTTTTGTATAATTATCCGTCATGCTTTCACATGAATTCGTAACTTATGTGAAACAAGCTTAGTATATAATAATGGAGCTCTTTCTCTTTTTTTTAGATTGCTGAGAAGCACAACTTTTTGATCTTTGAAGACCGCAAGTTTGTTGACATTGGTAACACAGTAACTATGCAATATGAAGGGTGAGAAAAGGCACTATAAACCTTCTTCTCTTTCTGTTTGCATATGTATGCAGTATGCTTAGATTTTTTTATAACTTTATTTCAGAGGAATATTCCGCATATTAGAATGGGCTGATATTGTTAAAGCCCATGTAATTCCTGGGCCTGGGATTGTTGATGGCTTGAAGCTTAAGGTATAGTACACTTTAAATGTCCTATAAACAGTAAATATTATAATTGCAGCTTTGAATAGCTTGTGTATTGTAGTGCTCACTATAACTGTTCTGTTGTGGTATTTTGAAGGGTTTACCGAAAGGAAGAGGGCTACTTTTGCTTGCTAAAATGAGCTCAGCTGGCAACCTTGCTCAAGGAGATTACACTGCAGCAGCTGTAAAGATTGCTGAGCAACATTCTGATTTTGTGATTGGGTTTATATCAGTAAATCCTGCATCGTGGTCGGTGGCACCATCAAGCCCAGCGTTCATCCATGCCAGCCCTGGAGTGCAGATGGTTTCTGGAGGAGATGCTCTTGGGCAACAATACACCACTCCCTATTCAGTGAGTTTAACCTTGACTTTACAAAGTGCTTTCTTCACATATGTTAATGCATTCAATTTTCCGTGGAGCTTTCATGAAGTTTGACTTCACAGTATTATTTTTGTATTTACTATGCTGCACCAGAATTTTGTTATTGTGCTGTGTGCTGGTTAATATAGTACTCCCTCCATCTCATAATATAAGAACATTTTTTACACTAATGTAGTGTCAAAAATGCTCACTAGCGTCAAAAGTGCTCTTAAATTAGTGTCAAAAACGCTCTTATATTATGGGGCCGAGGAAGTACTTGCAAAGCTTGAAGGTGACGTGTCTTTGGATTTAGTACGGCCATATTTACTGGTGTAATATCTGTAAGTTGTTGAGATCTTGCTAGTTGCTGCTGTAGAAATATTGCACAGCTGTGTGCTGGTATGGAGTATTGACTGATGTTGAGATAACCCAGTATTGTCCAGTAGTTTGGCTATATTTTTCTCATGCTCACACGAATAACACAATAAGCAGGTCTCGCCTATGTGGTCCTTAGCTTAAGAATTTCCTTGGGTGATAACATTTAATTTTGGATTCTCATGCACCACATAGTTTGTTTCCTGTTTGGTATACTGTACAAGTAGTATTTTGTAACGGGACATATTCTTTGGGAGTTTTTCAGAACTTGAGTTCTTCTGTACCGTTGTGGTCTGCCTACCTGATGTTGTGTCTCACCTGCAACTTGGTTGTTTCTTACAGGTCATAAACGACAGAGGCAGCGACATAATCATAGTTGGGCGCGGGATCATCAGACCTCCTCCAATGCAAAGGTATAGTAAACGAGGTGTTAAGTATATTAAATGCCTTAGTAATTTAAGTCCTCAATACATAGGTGCTAAGCGTTTAGGTGCTAAGCTTCACGCATTTAATTAGTTGTAAATTCGGAATTTGCTTCCACCTACGTACACGTGCTTAGCACCGTTTCTTCCTGGGCCACCATACTACTCTCTCTCTTCTTAACTAGTATACCATATCAGATTTTTTGCTTAGTTGGCAATCTTAGCACCTGTATAAGGTGAAGCATCGGGAAGGGCTTCAAGCCGAGCGACCCCGAGCAGACGGCGAGGGAGTACCGCGTCCAAGGGTGGCAGGTGTACCTGTCCAGCTTGTGAGGAAAGTTGCTGCTCAAACGCCTCTCTCAGTGTAAACCCAAACGAAATGCGCTGGCGTTCGTGCCATCGATCGATCAATGTAATAAGGACATCTCCAATGGGAGGCGTTTATCTAGACGCTTAAACGCATAAGAAAAGTATCAGAAAAATAAAAAAATGCTAAGCGCCACCTGTTCCACAATACAAGGCGTTAACGACCGGTGCTAATACTTGGATTTGAAACAACGCGTAGTCTCAGCTTGTTTTGGGGAAATAACTTCGAAATCGCGGTAACAGAAACCAGAACGTTCCCATGGACACTGCTTGCTTGCTTGCTCCTTGTCGCTCATGCCCTGTGCCTTTTGGTTGCTTCGGTCTTACGATGCTTGTGCTTTATCACCAACTCAAGATGTTTGCTGGTAGGAGCTTGCTTGAGATGGAATCAGGTAGGTTTTTAGACAAAATTTACTGTTAGATGGCAGTCCTCTTTCAAACGCACTAATACCGGTACCATCACCCAGGTCAGTCAGTGTCACATCCCATGACTCCTAATAACCTATACTATATATAGGCCAGCCCAAAATCTCAAGGTGGGCCGCGGCCCACCCAGTCCTTGAACTGCAATAATTTTAGAAGAAAAATATCATTTCCATGAAGAAACTGTAAAAAAAACTGCAATTGCGAGTTCGCCAACTAAGAGGGTCGAAAATTAATGGGTAAACGTTTAGGAACGGCGGCTGACCGGCCGAACACTTGGCCGGTCGCCTTCCTCACGCGCGTACGTCCAGACCCACACACCTTATCCCTTCCAACACCTTTTCCCTCTGTTCTTATTCCCAACACATCGTCTCTTCTCCTTTCTTCTCCGCTTCTCTTCCTCCATTAACCCCGGCCAGAAATTGTGCATCCGGTGAGAGCCCGCCACCGCACCTCTCCTAGCCATACTGCTTTCTTCTTCCTCCTCCAGCTAGCGAGGAATAACAGCCGCACCTGTGCTGGTGCGAGCGGTGCCCGGGGGATGCGTGGTGAGCGGGAGGGCGCGATGATGGTGCTAGGTAGGCCACGCGCAGGAGATAGAAGAGAGAGAGGTGGGTGACGGCGGTGCGGCGCATCACGACGAGGCTGAGGTCTTTGGTGTGACTGGCGTCACCATTGATGTGAGCCAAGCATAAGAACAACGACAACGACAGAGATGCTGGAACCAACAACACTGCATGTTGCAATCGGCAAGAGCAAAAGCTGGAACCGTTGGTGCGCAATGCTGGGACCAGCAGCGAGACGTCCTTCGACTAGCGGTGGGGATGCTGGTGAAAGCTTCAACCGACATAAAGAAAAGCTTCAACCGACATGAAAAAAGCTTCAACCGTGAAAATTTTTAGGCATGAAAATAGCTACAACCGCGGAAAAAGCTTCAACCGGTTTGTAACAAAACTTCAATCCCCGAGGGAGAAAGCTTCAACCATGGGTGAAAAGCTTCAATGGACGTGGATAAAAAGCTTCAACCGCGAAAATAATCTTAGAGCTGTGCGGGAAAAAGTTTCAATTGATGAAGGAGGAAGCTTCAATGGCCATGAGAAAAACCTTCAAACCGTAGAAATAGCTGCAACCGTAATTGCTGGAAGCTGGAACCGTGGTGTCAGATGCTAGAACCTTGGCGGCAAGATGCTGGAAGCCCGCAGCTGCCGACAATGAACCACGCCTCTGAGGCTGCTGCAACCATGGTGGCCATTTGCTGGAACCAGCTTTTGGTTTTGCTACGACCAGCCAGAAATTTTGCTACGACCTGTAGACAAAGATCCATGTTTTTGCTGGAACCCTGCAATTTGTTTTGATGGAAGCGGCTTATGTTTTTGCTTCAACTGACTTTTCTTGAATTTCTTAGTGCACAGATTTGTTTTTCTGCTAGAACGCAGTGCTACGCTTTGTTGACGATGTTGAGCCGGCCGGGAGGACGACGACGCCATGGTTCGATGGGTGTGTGAGTATGCTGGAACCGAATTAATCGCAAGCTGCATTGGGCTCGATTGAGTTGCATCCAACAAGTGGGTGGCGCTGGAAATCAATTGCGTGATTGGCAGGGCATCCGGCGACGGCGACGGCTACGGCGAGCTGCAGCAAGGGGTGCAGCGAGCTGCATCCGACAATGGACGTGGAGGACGCCGGGAGGTAGCAGCTTGTTTATGGCGAGTCATGGCAGCGCGCAGGAGGTGTGGAGGGGAGGGGGAGGGGGGATTTTCCATCTGTGGATGAGACGATGCTAGACAACACGAGGAATCAACAGGCAAAGCAGATCCTGGGCGTTCGCGCATGTGGAATCGTAGGGTCCTAAGTGACAGGCCAAATTGTGAGTAGTGCCCAAAAATGCCTCCCTGACTAAAGAAAAAAAATCAATGCCTCGTGGACGAAGCTCCAGCGAGGGCCGGTCGCACGGTCGGTCGAGGGCGTGATTATCGTTTCGTGTTCTTTGGTCGTTCACGGACACCCTCGCCGAAGAAGAAATTTACCAAGCGGTCCCTACCGCCCACCTCCCTCCCTCCCTCTTGAATGAACGCCAAGCGTCAGTGCGGCACAGTCACAGCCCAAACGACGGAGGGGGAGAAGAAGGAGAGACAAAAACCCTCGTCCACCAGACCACTACCGACCACCGCTGTCGCCGGCGAGCGATCCCGGCTCGGGAGGCGAGGCTCTCTTCCCGCACGCCCCTACTTTGCTACGCTCCACGGATTGTTCGCTGGGCGTGGCGTTGGTGGATGGAGCCGCCGCCCGCCGCAGTTCGTCTCGCTTTTCCCCTCCGCGCGTGGGCTGCGCGAGGAGAGGCCGGCGATGGAGGGGGTTGCTCAGTAGTGTATTATCTCCTGCGTGTTCATTCCAGATCCGCGAGGGTTTACTAATTTCGGATGGATAGGCAGCGGCGGATCAAGGTGCTGTTCGTTAGCTCCAAGATTCAGTACGACGTAGCTAGATGTTTGGAAAGAAACGCGCCGTTTTATTTTTATTTTTTCTGTACCTAGACTGCTGGATTGTTACATGTGTCTGGGGTTTCCTTTGCTCCGACATGCTCCTCTGTGTTTTCTCGCTCTTGCTAGTTAGGTCCGGTCTCCTCTTGCAGATCCATGCCCTGTCGCACTTTGGTACGGCCGCAGCCTTTTTGTTGTGTCAGATGCATGCTCTATTTAGGATTTCTGTGCGCCCAGATCCTTGTGCTCAAAACAAATGGTTTGAAATAGACCATGTTCTTGTAGAGTTTGCACTGCGTGTTGGTGCCAGATGAGCTGAAATGTTTTTGTAGTTAGTACCCTTATCTGGGAGATATTGTTTTAGATACAAGTATATTTGGTTTGCAAGCTCCAAATTAATCCCAAATTTGTCTTACCTTGTTTTTTTTGCAATCAGTTATTTTTGGCAATAGCTGCCAAATTAGGTGAAATGTTTTGGTAGGTGCTACTCTGATTTGGTAGATGTTGTTTTGGATGCAAGTGTTTAGTTTGCAGGATCCAGATTTGTCCCTTGTTGCTCTTTTATGGGGCAAATCGGCAGGCAAGACCATGCTGGTATCTAGTAAATAGAAAATGTTACAATCTTTGAAATCATGAATGTTGCACAAAAACAGTAATAGACCATGTTCTTGTAGGGGGTTGCCCAGTAGTGTCTAGTGTGTCGTGTGTACTCTCGTGTTCAATCCAGATCCGCGAGGGTTTACAATTTCGGATCGATATATAGGCAGCGGCGGTTCGAGTTGCTGTTCGTTAGCTCGAAATTTGGCACGACCTAACGAGATGTTTGGAAAGAAACGCGCCGTTTTTGTTTTATTTTTATTTTTTTGCTCTACATGGATTCCTCGGTTGTTATATGTGTTTGGGTTTCCTTTGCTCCTACATGGATTGATAGTTGGTACCGTCTCTCTCTTGCACATCCATGCCCTGACGCGCTTCGGTACGGCCGCAGCCTTTCTGGTGTGAGATGCATGCTCTGTTTATGATTTCTGTGCGCTCAGATCCTGATGCTCGAAACAAATGGTTGGAAATAGTCCTTCTTCTTTGAGAGTTTGCACTGCATGTTGGATGTCGTCTGAACAACATATGCTGAATGTGTGCATGCATTTGATTTTATATACCCTTCTGATTTAATCAGGTTTTTCCAGCCATAGGTGCCAAATGAGCTGAAATGTTTTCGTAGTTAGTACCCTTATCTGGGAAATATTGTTTTCGATACAAGTACTTGGTTTGCCAGCTGCAAATTAATCCCAAATTTGTCTTAACTTGTTTTTTGCAATCAGTTGTTTTTAGCAATAGCTGCCAAATTAGGTGAAATATTTTGGTCGGTGGTACTCTGATCTGGTAGATGTTGTTTTGGATGCAAGTGTTTGGTTTGCAAGCTCCAGATTTGTCCCTTGTTGCTCTTTTATGGGGCAAATCGGCAGGCGGGACCATTCTGATATCTAGTAAATAGAATATGTTTGAATCTTTGAAATCGTGAATTTTGCACAAAAACAGTAGGACAGAGGCACAACAGCCATCGTGACACAGTATTGTCGCTGATAACTGTTAGACAACGTGACAGCCCTCATCGTATGCGCCAAGGGATTAACAACCGAAGCTCCTAGCGTAGGATAGACTAGGAATCTGTTATGGTTTATTTTCCTGTTAAACTAGATATCTATCTCTTAGTCTATCTCTTGTTTTCCAAGTTTGTAATCCCAACAACTTGTACGCTATCAGGGAGGTCGCGACCCTGCATATAAACACGAAGCCGTCGGCCCTGGCAAAGGCACGACGTTCCCAGCCTTTTTCACATGGTAATCAGAGCCTAACTCTTCCATTCATCTAGCCCCAGCCCTCCATCGCACCAGCTTCCGCCATGGCATCCTCCAGCTCATCCAACTCCACGCTCACCGGCCAAATTACCGAGAAGCTCACCCACACAAACTTCATCCTCTGGCGCACACAAATCACTCCACAGCTCAGAGGCGCGGGCGTCTATGGCTATGTTGACGGCACCACGCCGGAACCAGCCAAGACCGT